TGGTTGTTAGAAGTATTCGCTATAGATGTGAAGATTGTTATTTGAGGGTAAAAATATATGAATTTTTGGAAATGATTTACAGGGGACATTGTAGCCAGAGATCTAATAGAGCAGATGTTGAGCATGGAACCCCACCGGAGGCCTTCAGCTGAGAGTGTTCTCAAACACCCTTTCTTCTGGAGCCTGGAGAAGGAGCTACAGTTCTTCCAGGTCACAGTCACTTCTTTTTTTCCTCATCTATCAATTTCCCTGCTCGTGGTAAAGATCACATTTTTAGGCTGCCCCTGATGTGGTTTAAACACCTGCTAATACAAACCACGACTTAATGCAGTAGATTCCACCTATGTGCACACACTCCCAGGCATCTTCAAAATGGTATAAATCCACATATTTTATACTTCATGCATTTTTGACAATTTTAATTTGATTTGGTCATTAATGCCAGGTTGATTTTCTTGGACTGTGTAAAGAGCTGATTCTTTTCAATGTTAACAACTCCAAATACTTGGAGGATGTGTGAAAACCATCCACTTCAGTTGATTAGTAAAATGTGAACCTGCAGAACTTCATTAATGCAATGTTGATTAGAATAGCATAGTAGACTGTGCTTGCACCTTTTTTCACAGAGATGGATCCATTCACTTCTAAAATAGATTTTTTTTTGTGTGTGTGTAATAATGTTCTGAATGAGAATAAGACTGCAAGCTGCCTGCCTGGCACATTAGTTGAAATTCACACATTTTGTGTCTTTGTGGTTTCTTGCAGGATGTGAGCGACAGAATAGAAAAGGAACCGCTGGACGGACCAATTGTGAGACAGCTGGAGAGAGGAGGGAGGGCTGTTGTCAAGGGTGACTGGAGAGAGCATATCACAGTGCCACTGCAGACAGGTAGGAGACTGGCTAAAACTTAAACAGCATGTAAAAATACAAGCACCAGGAGCCAACTGTTGGAACATGGTCCTGTTTCTTGAATTGCTGGAAACGTAGTATTCCTCTCACATGTTGACCAAATTAGTATTTTAGAGCTACTTAGAGAAATGCTTAGCTCCAAGCCTGATGTACATTCATAGCTGCTCTGAATGCTGTATCCTGTTGTGGTATCTTGAGGTGCTGATGTGAAGAAGTGATCACCGCCGACACGTCTTTGCTTGTAATTCAAAAGAAGTTTATTAACAAGAAAGAAACAGTGTCTAAAATGCCGAATCCTGGAGTATCTCTGCCAATGTGAGAACCCTCTTCTACTGTCTCACAAACCCCTCTATTTATCTGTCTCATCCCACCTTTGGGATGAGCCTTTCTTTTAATAGAAGGGCCTTCACACAAATTGTCGACCATATCTGGTCAATAACCTCTGATCTCTAACCTCTTGGTCCAGAAAAAGGACCCACACATCCTGAGTGTCTCATTTAGTAGGAGACAGAAATCCTGAAGAGTAAGCAGATTTACCCCTAATGCACATTCCTTAACCTTAACTTATAATATATAATTTCAAAGAAACCTTTAATAAAACTTTAATTGACAAAGACTTTAACTTATTAATAAACTTACATAAAGGAAGGATCTATAACAATTTAAACTGTTTAAGAAGGAAGGAATGAAGTGGATAATACACTACACTGTCACCAGAAACTATTGCACTGGGTGGTTAAGTGTGTCTGCATCGCCGTCCACCTAGTATCACAAGCCTATGATATTTTCTTGAACTGCTTCTCTTTGGATTTGCATTTAGTTGATTGACCAATAAAACCAATGGCCCAGATAGTCGGGATGAATTCTTTTATTTATTTTTTTTCATTTATTTTAACTTTTTTTTTTTTAACTTATCATGTGGGTATACAGGTGTGTATGTTATTATAACATAATGTTTTTAATTTTTCGGATGTTATTTGGTTGAAACAAAAGAAGATCATGCATGTCAGTGCATTTTTAGGTTCTTAAGTTACAGAATAGAATAAAAGCACAGCTGTATCTTTTCAGGATTTCCTCTTTACTGGTGCCTTGTTGGTTAATGGAATTCAGGAATTTCTTCTATGGTTGATGCCAGGGGTTTTCTCTTTCTTTGGCAGATCTGCGGAAATTTCGGTCCTATAAGGGTGGGTCAGTAAGAGACCTGTTACGTGCAATGAGGAACAAGGTAAGAGGGTTTTCTTATGGCTATGATAAACTTATTGGTGTTGGAGTGAAACTGGTTTCTATTAACAAGATTTAATGCCCAACTTTCCCTGACAGAAACACCATTACCGAGAGTTGCCTGTTGAGGTACAGGAGACTCTGGGCTCTATCCCTGATGACTTTGTCTCCTACTTCACTTCCCGCTTCCCCCACCTGCTGATGCACACCTACCTGGCCATGCGGACCTGTGCACCTGAGAGGCCATTCCTGCCTTACTACTCCACTGCAGAGCACCTTGCAAGAACACAAGTCCATTACACACACCCGGGGCCACAAGGACAAAATGAGCCATGCACTCAGCACCTGCCAACACACACATCACCACCCTCCTCACAACCCCAGGAACCTACACATTCATCACAGCCGGTGCAGGTCTGTCACATAACACCTGCTAAATCAGTGGCCTCTACGTCACCAGATGAGCCTGTATCTTCACATTTGCCAGTTCAGACAGTGGGGCCAGCAGTGCCAGCACTGTCCGCACAGACTGACTTGCACAGTCAAACAGTGAACCCCACATTTGCCCCAGAATTGCCTACAGTTCCTCTCAGGCAAACAGCATCCACTGAAATGCACACACTGCCAAATGGTCCTGCACTGGACAAGGAACCAGTGTGAACTGGAGTCAGCTGGACGCAGCACAGACGGGAGCACTGCCTTACAGAGTGGACACAAAGTGGGACACAGTTGCTGAGCTTTGAGCTGGTGAGGACCAGGCCTGCAGTGCCTGGGATCCACTGCCAGGCGCAGCAGCTGCACCCATCTGGATTAAGTGCCTTCTGCTCACCTGGGTTAAAATGTTCCCCAATAGAACCGTCCACAAGTCTGTCTCTGCCTAGAGGAAGTCAGACACGCAAGAGAGTGTTGGTGGATATTTTCTTGTAGCTGGGCTGAGCAAAGAGATTTTTTTTTTTTTTTTTTTTTTTTAAATAACGGCATGTCCAAAAAAAAGTGTTTGTCCCAAAAATATCTGGCCACAGTTGTGGGAAACATGTCTGTATATTGTTGAACATGTGGGTAGTTTAATTGTGCAATGTTGTATTTCTGAGTGAGCCTGTTCACTGCACAGATACTGTATGTATATTTTTGTATAGACTGATTCAGAATTTGGATCATCAATGATAAATCATTTAATGTGGCCGATGTGCCTTTTTTTTAAGAATATCACTGTGCTGTATGGGTACAGATCTTTAAAATTGACTATGCTAAATGTGCTTGATTCCAGTTAATGCTGCTAGACTGCTCCTCTTTTGTCAATCAAGACTATTGTGCTGACTCGGTAAGAGTGGACTGTTCCCAAAGGTGTTCAGGGTGGCATCTGAATTTAGTAGGTAATTTTATCCTCATGTGATTATGTAGTCAAATATGAGTTTAGAGGTCAGGCTGCAGAATGCTCATGTATAATAACTTTCAAGGGTGTCAAAGTGAAGTTAATGACATGCACATTAAATTCTATTTTTTTTATACTAAGATTGTGTTTGTGCATTGATCTTGATGCATCTCAAAATCGGGATGGGGAACTACAACTAAAGGCAGCACCTAAAAGAAGCTACTTACTGTTCATTTAACAAATAGTTTTATTTACAGGTGATCTAAGCAGCTGATATGTACTGTAATGTCTGGGTTAATGTTTATTGCTACAGTTCACGTTTGTTAGTGTAGCCTAAAGTATATCATATTAATATATTTTAAGTATTGCTGTTCACAAGTGGGATTTTTTTTTTTTTTATTGCAAGCAAATTAATATGACCTGTGATCAAAAGGACCAATACAGTAAAACTCAGGGCTGTGCGGAGCCAGAACATGTGAATTACTGTGCTCTATTCAGGTCCACCAACATACTTGTTTATATATATATTTAATATATATTATGGAAAATGAAAATAAACCAGCCGTGAATCTTGGTGTAAACAAATGAGCATGTACTAAAGCAAATTAGCCAGAGACACTGACATCTTACTTTGCCTGCCGTTCTACTTCCCTGTCCATTTATGTCAACACAAAATTGGATGACTAGAGTTCAAAACAGCATATGCTCTTTGAACATGGCCACCAACTCTCAGAATTTGAGATTAACCAAACTCCAGACATGATCATTTGGCATATGCCACTCATTACTGTATGCTTGTAGGACAGTCTAAGTCGTGTGTATAGTTTGATGATTGGACAGTATGCCATTCAGTTATGTAAGACTATTGTTATAGTGGGTTTTCATCAGTTTACACTTTAGTTACATTATTTGCTCCCAGTGACATTCTGATAATGGTTCTACTCACCCTACCTTGCTAGGTGTTAAAGCCATTACAGTAAAGTAAGGCAGCAAACTATTCAGAATGTAGATCATACCGACAGATTATGCACATTACTATGAACAACATGCAGGAGCAAGATGGCATAAACCGTGTCTAGAACAGCTTTATAATCCAAAAAACATGAACTGCTCTGGCTAGTCTGTTCAGTTCTACCTTATCTGATACCGTCACTCTTGCCTGATACTGCGGTGTTGGTCAACAAAGTTATATAATGTGGTGACAAATGGCAATGCAAGGGTCAAACAGGTGACTCTACCCTTTTTTCTTCTCATTTGAATGGCAATGACTTTCTTTCATCTTAAATGGTAAAATCCTGGCTGGTTTATGGCCGATTTTGTATACTTGAGTCTAGTAGTCTTGGGTGTCTAGTGGGGTTCAGCTGTGGATGTTTTATTCATGGATCCATCTCTGTGACTGGAGCATTTCGCATTTCCCCAAAAACGAAACTAGGGGAGCTGCGCAGACGCAATTAGTGCAGCCCAACCCGCCGGACGGTACCAGACCACAGAGAGACGTCGAGAGCAACAGTCTGCTCTGCGACAGCGTATGAAAAACGCACTACAGGTGTCTCTTTCTCACAATCCGGACCAGGAGGAGGACAAAGGCTGATTTCTCTCAGAATTTATTCAAGGTAAGAACAATCATCGACTTTTTATTTATTTATTTATTTATTTTGCTGGTGGTTGGTTTTTGACTTACTCATATTACAAAAAAAAGAAATCGCTATTGTGCAGCATGGAGCTCACACTTTTCTGTGGTTAACGGTTATACCACATATCCGTACTTAAAAGAAATCCTCTTAGTTACAACACTGTATGATTTTACATAGCACACAAAGTATGCTAACAGTTGAACGATTATATGGCTTTGGCTGTAGCTACAGTGGTAGCCAATGACTTCTGCTATTGCTATATATTAACCTAGCTATGCAGTGTACAGTAAGTGAACTTGTGCTCAACCTAAATTTTGCAGTAGTGTGGTGGTACCTCAACTATATTCGCATAGTGATTCAAGCAGTTAATTTTTTGTGTACTTAGCTACAGAACAGACTTTTTATATGATTGCTTCGCTTCTTTAATTGAACACAGCCCCGTCCCTTTTTCTGACACCCTGACTGCTGTCAAGACATGCCCCATGCCCCATGCCCAATGCAATGCACTCACCAGTACACAATACATTTCCACTTTGTGCTTGCTCATACATGCACAAAAGCCACGGGCGGAGGTTTTTCAGTGCTCACACAGCGACGTCATCATGGATAAAGCTCCCGGAAATTCAGCCTGAATCACTAGGGCAATACTTGAGCCATTATTGTATACAAAACTAAAGCTGACACGCATTGCACTTTCCCATTAGGAGTGTGGTATATCGTGTGTGTTATATCACATGTATATTGTCAATTTGATCTTTTTTTAAATTAGTTTGAACTTTGAACTAAGTAGGTTAGTAAACTTAACTAGATTTCTCTCAAGGGTTGCTTTGCTGTAGTTCAACTTCTTCCAGTGTGAAGTATCGGTAGTTTGCAAAGCTATGCTTTCAAAGTAGCTTCCCCAACACTGTAGCAATGGCTGTGACTGTGACAGGATGGCTACAGTCATGTGTTGAAAGAGTAGCATTATAAAATAGAAATGTAAAGCTAGACACTCCTGCCGGTATTTTAACCTTGTTGCGTTACTTCTATAGATGGCATAGATTAATCACATTAAAACGTTGTTACCTATTACTGCTTGGTTTTACATACAGGTAAGATAAGCCAAGCTATGAGTTAAGTTATTTTTCACCTATCCCCATTGCCAGGTCCAAGCTCATGGATATGGCCTAGTGCCTAGAGATGGAGATCAGACCTGCTACTCATTTGGGGCCTTAACATTGGACTTACACAGGTGACGAGGCACACAACTCAACATGATAATCATGCCTTGTATGTGCTGTATGTAATTGGCTGTTTGCTAACAAATCTATTTGTGATTCCAGTTTGAAGGTTTCACCACGAATTTTGAGTAGATATACAGTCTCTACTCAAACTTCGTGGTGAAACCTTCAAACTGGTCTGTCTGTGAGCCAGGTTAATTTGTATGCAAGATGATATTGGACTGAATGTAACTGTATAACACTTTATTTTATAGATTGAAGGTGATAAGTAAACACCAAAGACGTTGTTAATGTGACGAAAGGAGAAAGGAAATCATGGGTGAGTGGAATGACTTGAGTTGTTTTTTTATGTCCAGTGTACAGAGGCAGTTGGCTGCTGTGTGTGTGTGTGTGTGTGTGTGTGTGTGTGTGTGTGTGTGTTGACTTGAAATTATGGTGGGGCAAATTACATTCAATATTATTATGTTATTATCATTCTTATTATCATCATTTAATATTACTACTACTATATATAAAAATAAGAACAAGTTAATACATTATAAATTTAAAATTTGCAAACTACAAATATGTCTGCAGTGTGGAGGAGAACTATAGTGCTTCTCTTATTCTATCACTTATGATTAAACCTATTGCTGTTTTGTCTCTTCTCACTATTTAGCTGACAAACCTGAACAGTCACCCAAGAAATGGACAGAATCTCAAGTAAGCACCTGGCTAAGATCCATTGGAGTGAAGGAGCAGTATGTAGAAAAGCTCTGTGAGGAAGAAGTAGATGGACAAATCCTTCTTACGCTGGATGAGGACTTTTTGAAGGCAAAGATTTGCATGAAATCAGGGCCTGCTCATTTGATTATTAAAAAGAGAGATGAGCTGCTCAACTCCCAGCAAAAATCACAGGAGAAGAAAAAGCCCTCCAGTGGCAAAAAAACTGAGCTGGAGCAGAAAAACAATCAAAACTCAGTTCAGTGTCCTACAACAAGAGAAGATCCTTCAGCACAAGTTCCTGTGAGAGATGAAGGTGTCTTAGAGGAGAGACAAACTGCTCAGAAACAGTCCATGTCCAAGGCAGACTGTAAACCACGACCATTTGATCAAGAAGGGATTGATCACATATATGTAAAGCACACAGTCCTGCTACCTGAATCGGGTGCTTTTAATTTGATCTCCCCATGCCATGAATATAAGTCTTTTGCTGTAGCTGCTGCATTGGATCGCACAAGACTCCAAGCTAAGTTTGCCAAAGAGGTTCTTAAATTTGCGACTGGCTGCATGAATATCAGATCGAATGGCACAATACACTTTGGTGTGATGGACAGCAAGGAGGATGCAGGATACGTGCATGGTGAGGTAATTGGCATCCCTGTGAAAGAGAAGGACATTTATGTAGATGCTTTGGACCACATTGAAAGGAGTTTCTCCTTGGACAAGGAGCATGTACGCCTGTGTGTGCGGCCACCAAGGTTCATCGAAGTAATGGATCGAGAAAGTACAGAGAAGATGTATGTGGTAGAGGTTGACATTGTACCTTTAATCAGTATTGTTAGGGGCAAGGTGTATACAGTTCGTCTGCCAAACTTCAAAGAGTCAGCTAACAAAGTGGAATTTGAGAAGGAAGTGGTTCTGCGGAGGGTGGGTTCAAAAACCGAGCCAGTGAGTGAGAAAGACCTAAGTGATTTCTGTCAGCGAGTTAGGGATCGGGATGCTCAAAGAGAAGAAGCAGAGAAAAATCAGTTCCTCTACGCTCCAGAGTTCTGCCAAGACCTCGGAAGGAAACTCACAATGCTAACAAGTAATGGGAAGAAATTCATTGAAAAGGAGAAATGGTTCATACTCGTGACAAACAAATTCAAACCTGACGATCTTTGCAACATTGACTGGCTGCTTAACATGAACGTTTTCTGTGTGTTTGACTTTGACCCAGAATCAAAGATTTCAGGTCTTTGCAGTAAATACCTTCAGCATCATGCTGCAAACATGCATTCTCTGCAGAGCTACAGGATATCCAGTGACACAAGCATCAAAGAATTCACAAACAACTTGCATCTCTTTGAGCAAACTAGCTGGATCTTTTGTAATGGCCGTTCTGAGTTCAAAGGAAATGAAACTCCATGTGATGAAATGACTTGGATCAAGACAAAAATGACCTTCTTGAGAGAATGTGTGTCATTGATTTGTAAACAAATCTTGCCAAAAGGGGCGTTCCAGGTCATGTTCCTTCTCACATCACAAGTGGAGAAACCACTCTTACACACCTTTTATGAGTTTTTCACAGACATGGAAGGCCATGAAGACATCATCTGCATCTGTGAATCACAGGAAAACTTCCAGAAATGGCAAAGCTTTGCAGAGGGATCATGTGGAACAGAAACCGTGAACAATTTCAGTGTTGTTGGGATGAAAATGAGTCATGTTAATGCAACTCTGCAGACAATACAATCTGTAAAAGCCAGTGCCAGCAAACACTTGCCAGTCTTTGTGAAAGGCATATGTCTTCTTGAAACAAACAAAGAGGAACAGATGGGTTCTCTAGAAATTCTGACAGTCAATCACTGTGATGAAACAAGCGAAGACTTCATTGATGAGAAGAAAGCAAACATTGAACAGCAGTTCTACTGTGGTGGGAGAGTGACCTGGTTGAATTTCTGGCTTGGTGAGCGCAAGCATGTTGGAGAGGTAATTGAACGAGATGCTTATCATGATGTTTCCAAACTTCTCAAAGATGTTTTGAAATATAATCCAGATCAGCCTCCAGTGACTAATATAATCATATACCATCATCCAGGAAGTGGTGGAAGTACTGTGGCAAGACAAGTGTTGTGGAATAACAGGAAAGATCTAAGGTGTGCTGTTGTGAAGCCCTCATACTCAGCTTCTGTTGTTGCGCAACATGCAGTTGACCTAAGAGAATATGAAGAAAAAGATCCACAGAGTTGTCTTCCTGTGCTGTTACTCATTGAAGACTCAGACAAAGAATATCTGGATGATCTCAAGAATGAACTGGAGGTTGCAATTAACAGCAAAAGAGTCCAATATGGAACACTATGTTTCATTTTGTTGAGCTGTAGACGATCCCATGATCCAGAGAGCAGATGCAAGGAGTTTTCTTTACAGAATGTGGCTGTCACTCACCAACTATCTGCAGTAGAGAAGAGAAAGTTTGCTGGAAAACGAAAGGTACTTGAGAAACGATATGAGCCTAAATTTATGATGACATTTGTTTTGATGACCGAAGGATTCGATGAGGGTTATGTCCAACAGTTTGTGGAACATTTGCTCCAAGATATTGACCATCATTCTGTTGTCACTCGCCTCATTCACTATGTAGCACTGCTGAACACTTATGTTCAAAACTCTTTCATCTCTCGGTCTCACTGCGAGGCTTTGCTAGATTTAACCATGCGCCTTGAAAGGTTTCGCCAGCATGAGTTTGAGAGATCACTCAGTGATCAGGCTAAACTAGTCTTCTTGCACCTCAGAGATGACAAGACCTACATTGAATCAATCAGAATCATCCACCCACTCGTTGCAAAGGAAATTCTCCACCAACTTCTTGGAAACCAACAGACCCAGAGCAGTTTGGCAATGAAGATGCTCTGTGAGGATGTGCTTTTTGAGCACAGATTTGGAAGGGAGGAATATCTGTCATTCTTGAGAGCACTATTCATTAGGCGATCCAGAATAAGCAAAGGGGATGAATATGATAGTTTTTTCTCTCCTCTGATTGAGCATGTGTGTGGAAATGAGAAAAGCCCAGACAACGCAATTGAGTTACTCAAGGAAGCGTTCGAGCATTTCCATAAAGATCCATTCTTTGCACAACAACTTGCTCGTCTTCATTATACTTATGAAAAGTTTGAAGAGGCAAAAAACTGGGCAGAGACAGCAGCTAAACAGCTGCCCAACCACTCATACATACTCGACACAAAAGGGCAGGTGTACAGAAAATGGTTCCAAGCAAAATGCAAAGCCATTGAAGATGGGAAAATACCAAAAACAGCCCAAACTACAGCAGATGCCGTGGAGACTGCGCTGAAAGCCATTGAGTGTTTCAAAGAATGTGAGAGAGCAGCTGAGGCAGAAAAAGAAAACATGAACAGTTCAGGATTTTTTTCTGAAGTTGAAGTTGGATGCAGCCTGCTCAAACTGATCTCTTCATTGTTTGCAAACAGAACCAATGGCCATTTAGAATGCGTGAAATACCTGTCAACAGATTACATTCCAGAGGAAGTTCAAGATGCTTGGGAACCATTTCATGGTCGTTTGAAAAATCTTCACAAGACATTGCAAGATGCCTTGGAATGGATTTCAGAAGACCTCAGTTACTTCCAGACAGACATCGATGCAGATGAAGAAGAGATTCCTCAAAGTCCTGAAGAGAGCCTGAGCCATCCTCTGAAATGGTTGGCAAAAAGATCTGCCGACTTTGGGAAGTACTTCAGTGAAGCTTATTTGAATGCACTATCACAGCCTGGGCAATCAATCCCAACCAATCTAACTCCTTTTCAAAAACGCATGATCATCTGTCATCTTGGTGGGGGAAATGTAATATCCATCCTCTCAAAGCTAACAGACCAGAGAAATGCCGTACGTCTTCTAGAGAGCATCCTTTCTCTCTACCCCAGCAATCCAATAAAGGCAAAATTTGGCCAGAGGGATATTGTAAATTACATAGTGGCCCACATTACTCTGAACTGCTTGTCACCACAGGCTCCAAAGATTGCTTCCCTTAAAGATCTACAGGCACTTTGTTTTCAGTTCCCAGCTGATAAAAAGAAATGCTTACCAAGTGCCCTGTTCTTACTTACCTTGCTATTCTGGCCAGAGGATAATGACACAGACCATGAGAAAGAAGGCAAATATGAAATTGTTCAGTCAGCTGTTGAACACATGGAAAAAAGCTACTGGGCCAAGATCAAGGACATTCCTCAGCGAAAGAGAAGACTTTACACCCATTTTTTTCTGGGCAGTGGGAATGGATTGGATAAATTTGTCCACAAGAAAAAGTTTGAAAAGGTCATAAAGGTGTTCTCAGTCTCTGAGAGACGCATGAAGTGGTTCAGTGGTGAGGCGTGGAAAAAGCCTGACATTGCCATGATGTTGAAAAGTGTCTCTGGATGGACTGAAGATGGAGTTGTGTACCTTGAGGGCCCTCAGAAAAAGAAGTTCAGTATACTGCCTCTTCATGTACCTTCAGTGCCTCATAGTAATGAAAATATCACCTTCTACCTGGGGTTCTCCTTCAGAGGCCCAGTTGCCTACAACATTGTTGTTAGAAAATAGTTTGTCTTTGAACAATGGTCCTGTCACTTGCTGAAGTATGTGCCCAGTATCCACAACATCGACAGGAGCAAGAAAATATGATCAGTTCAAAACACACAAGCCCTCCTTTGCCAGATTATTAAGCAGGCAATATTTGTAAAAGATGTGACTAATAATGTTTTAACACATGGTGTGGTCTTTGCATTGTTTTGTAAAATATGAGATGGTTTGATATCTACATTCTGTTGTACTTCAGAATCAGAATTTGCCACTCAATAGAATCTTTTAGCTCTCTGTTTAGTTCAGTGTCTAGAGCCTTGTTATTTTTAATTGTATTTTCAGTTCAGATGGACTGCGGGTCACACTTGGCATAAAGCTTACACTCACTCTTCTGTGTTTTCCTGGATACTATGTATAAAAAAAGGAAATTATATGCAGCTACTTATCAAAGAACAAAATCATTTTCCTTTCAATTGTATCAGTTTTTTTTTATTGTGTTAAGAGCTAAAGAGAAAAATTATGTACAAAAAAAATAAATATGTACAGTTGGAGAAGAATTATATTATATTATATATATATTGATATGCAAAAGAAAAATGTTAAGGAAAGTACTTGTAAAGATATTGAATATGTTTTACACAAGCTATGGAAATCTACTAGCTTTCAACATGAAACTGCAAATAAAGCAAGTTGGAGTACTGCACATATCATACTTTAAATATATAATGATAACATTTGACTATGTAAAATGTGTCATTGAATACAATAAAACTTGACCAAAACTAAAAAATGTTTTCCAGTTACATTTTTATGGTGTCATTCCTCGTACAAACTGCATCTGTCTTTTCAAGTTCAGCTGGTAGTGAAAGTCTTCTCACAAGAAAGATTTCACAGTGGAACAATTTAATTACTAACTTTAGCAATTGTACAGAAAGCAAAGTACTCAAATAATATTTATAAAAACAGTTAAATAGTGTACTACTAACATAATAAGACATTTCAACTTTGGAGTGTCAAAGTAAGTGATCTTAAAATTGTAACTTATGACAGGATGTTTATCTTTTTTTTTAATAAACTTGTTCCAAGTGTTAAGGGTCATAATTGCTAGTTCTCAGTATGTTTTGATTTTACACCTGGAAACAGCCTAAAGGGCATTGTTCATTTGCTCATTGTGATACCTACTAGAAATTATAAAATATAACATTTCCTGGAAACCAGTGAATGTTGTGTAATATGTGGGGTATATTATTTCTAATTTTAAAAATTCCAGACTAGTAGACCAGATTTTGAGATTAAGGTGAATTAGGTTAGGTTTTTTTTTTTTTTTTTGGGGGGGGGGGGGGGGGTGACACGCAGGAGAGGGCCTACGCGACGCCCCCCGCAATGTTATGTTTGATTAATAAACATTTCCAACTCAGAATAGTATAAAAGCAACCTAATGGTTTGTATGGAATTTTTATGTTTTATGACATAAAACATTACGAAATAAATGTTTGTTTTTGTGATTGATCCTTTAGACAGGAAGAGGCGGAAAAAAAGTCGCAGCTGTAGCAGTTTGAACACTTTTGTCCTTGTATGCTTGCCCTAGTTTAACGTTAGCCTGTATGTTGCTGTCTTCTTTTGCAGGCAAGTGATGTCATTATAGACATCGTACTTTTCCTAAATACTGCTTGTTCCGCTGCGTTTTAACAAAACGTGTTTTCTGCCACTGCTCGCAGGTAATTTATTTGGAGGGAAATGCTAAATAAAAGCTCCCCACTGAGCTGCTTCATAGCTAATTGCTAGTTTACAGCTAGGTAACTTGGTAAATCCATCTGCCACCGAGCCAATGAGAAACATTTTAGTATCCAAAAATTATGAACAAAACAGCTATGTGCTCATGATGGCTTCTTGTAATAGGTACTGCTTACTCTGTAAATGAATATATACACCATATAAGGAACTAAGTGAGAGAGCTCAACTTCAGAACGCTTTGACCTGGCAGTGCATCTCTAGTGAAAGCATTATGGGTCTGTATAATTTCACTTTAGTTGTTGTCCTTGCATCTGCTCTGTCAGCATGTATGTACATGAACCACTTGTCTAATCATGAAACCAGACTGGTTCGGTCAGTCAATGCTAGGCAAAATGAGATCATAGCACATGAAAGACTTGTTAATAATCCAGCCAAACCACAGGATAATGCTGTGGAGTCCAGGGGAATCCACCCTGAGAGCTCCCAAGAGACTGATATTTACAGAGGTAATAAGTGCACCATGGCCCCAGAGAGTCGGTTTGACTGTGCCAGGGACAGGCTTCTCAGCCAGACACAGTGTGAGGAGAGGGGATGCTGCTATGCCCCTCTGCCCAACTCTGCAGGACCACCTTGGTGCTTCTACCCCAGTTTGTACCCTGGCTATAAAATGGGTCCACTCACTCCCACCACGGGAGGCCAGGGTGCCACCCTGACTCGTGCCAATGCCTCCTATCTCCCCAGAGATATCTCCACTTTAAGCCTGGAAGTCATTGAGGAGACTGCAGGCTGCTTGCACCTCACTGTGAGTACCTAATACCCTGTATTCCTCTACAGCCATTCAGGAGGATGTGATGAAGAAAGTGCAGGAGGGTCTTCTTGAATTCCCTGTTGATTTGCATGTCAAGTATTGATGACTATAATGCAGTTTGAATGGAAAATATACTGTAGTAAAAAAAATTCTTCTATTGAGTTTGGCAGATTAAAAAATATTCAGGAGTAAAACAAATGTGTGATTTTGGAAGTGGAAAGTGATTCCCATTTTCTTTTATAGTTAAGAGTTGATTTTATATGAAATGGTTCACCCTGGAAACCTTGAAATACTCTGGTGTACAGATGATCAAAAATTGGAATAGTTGCTTTGTCTCAAAGGCCTGAAAAAAATGTATTTGTTTAATTACTATTTTCTCTGATTATTCCAATATCCAATTCAATATCCAAAATTTCAATTCTTTGTCTGTGATTCATGAATTTTGTTGAAAAAAGTTCTAACAATCTGAATTGTTTGACAATGTACATACAGCACTGTGAATGTTGCTTATATGTTTTTGTGGTGTCCTGTCAGCTGATGTGAGCTTGGCATAGTTGTGTTGTAGTTGAAACAGTGACACAATAATAAGACCTTATCTTATTCATACATGTGTCGTAGATCAAGAGATTAAACCCTCTACTTTTACACACAGAGTCCATTAGGATGCTGTGGCACAAAATTGAACTGACATGTTTTCCCTCAAGTTGAAGGACCCATCATCTCAGCGATATGAAGTCAAGCTCCCAGCTGGTGTTCCTCAGAGCAGAGCTGATTCCTATGATGCCCTCTACACCACTGAGTACCAGTCTGACCCATTTGGTTTCATAGTGCGACGTAAATCCAATGGAAATGTGATGTAAGTGCCTCTTTTCAGTTTTCCTAGAAATCACAAGCATTTTATAGATGCTATCATAGTAACATATGTACACCCTTACCTATGCACTTATGCCTAGTCAGCTTGTGCCAATTCCAGCTTTTTTATTCCCATTTTGTGAAAAAGTTTTTTTCACATAGTGATATAGTACCACTGATGTATATGAAATTTATTCATTGCTTGTCATTTGTATTGTATCATTGTAGCTGGTACCTTCCACTTTCATTAATATGTTTCAGCCTCTTTTGAAGTGTTTTATATTTTTTCAACTTTTATTTAACAAATTTTCCTACATGTCTGTATTTTATTTTACTGTTTATTCAGGCTGAACTGAAACTTTTCTTGTTTTATGTTATGAATGAGCTCAAAAGTGTGAAAATTGCTGGAGATATGATGATTTGCTTTGTCGTGATCATTATGTTGTTCATGTTTGTTTGTTCTCTGTGTACTGTCTGTGCAGTATGAACACCACTGTGGCTCCTCTGCTGTTTGCCGACCAGTACCTGCAGCTGTCCACTGCACTGGCCTCTTCCCTTGTGTCTGGCCTTGGGGAGCATTACACCTCCCTCCTCTTGGATCTTAACTGGACCTCTCTGACTCTCTGGAACAGAGACATGGCACCTCATGTGAGTCTATTGCAGTGGGTCAGGACCCTTCAAGTAGATTCAAGAAAAATCGGACGGGTAATGGATAATTAATAAGATAACAACGAGGAAATGCAGAACAAGGGTTAAGTTTTTTCTGGTATTGGTGAAAGACGGGAATGTTTAACCTCTTCAAGTCTCTAAAACCTAAATAAAACAAACTTTTTAATGAAATCTGAGAAGGGAACATGGTTCTGTGGTTGAACTGCTCACACAACTTAAGGACATATAACCTTTGACAAGCGGTTGCAAGTAGTTACTTCACCTTAAAGGGTCACAAGCCCATGAGATTAGGAACACCGGATCTATGGTACATGTCAGTGATGTATATATATTGCACACTTCTTTTAATTCATAGCACGTTAAAGCAAAAATATTTGGACTTTTAAATCAAGCTGCCTCTGCAGAACAGTACTGCTGCTTTTGGTCATCTCTGAACTCTTTCCTTTTCTGTGTTCAAGGTGTAAATGTAGATGCTGTGTTTCTTTGCAGGCCGATGCTAACCTCTATGGCTCCCACCCGTTCTACATAGTACAGGAGGAGGATGGCTTGGCACATGGAGTTTTCCTTCTCAACAGCAATGCAATTGGTACTGAGCTATCTGTTCCATTAGACACACAGCAGACATTTTTATTCATTCACCTTCCATAGAACATGATTTTTTCTATCTTATGAAGATACTAGTTATTGCTCAATGTCTTCCCTAATGTTTCTGTAGAGGTGATGTTGCAGCCGACCCCCGCTCTCACCTGGGTGTCCACTGGAGGAATCCTTGACCTGTATATATTCTTGGGTCCTGACCCTCAAAGTGTTGTACGACAGTACCTCCAGGTCATTGGTATGTGTTCTCAGTGTTGACATTCAATAAAACATCTCCAAGTAGCAACAGCAATAGGCATACTGTACATACCAAAAGGGAAATGTGTAGTAGAAAACCTGTAAAAGCATGTTTATGTGTGTATTTGACGGAGCCCAGAAGCAACCTGGAAAAGCGCGGATGTGTTTGTGTGTTTCAGTGTTTTCATTTATCTGTCCCCAGGTTATCCCATGATGCCACCTTACTGGTCACTGGGCTTTCATCTGTGTCGCTGGGGTTACACAACCACTAAAACAACTCGCAAGGTTGCACAACGTATGCACAATGCCAGCCTTCCACTGGTAAATTAGGATTACAGGATATTTTCCCTATGTACTGTTTGTGCGTTTTCTTGTGCAAATGATGTCATAATCAGACCGAGGTTTTGTGAATGTGTTAAAGTCAACATTGCCAACACTCAGTAACACTTGAAAATTTGTTGTGACATCCACGGACAGTCACACAATTTTTAGAGTGTTAAATGCAGTTGGACTCCTCATGAAATGACTTTATCTCTTTCATCATCAGGATGTGCAGTGGAATGATCTGGATTATGCAAATAAGCTCAGGGTTTTCACTTTTGACCCCTGGCGATTTGGGGACCTCCCGGAGATGGTGGAGGAGTTCCATAAGAGAGGCATGAAGTACATCCTTGTTCTGGTGCGACATCTTTGAGTTTAGAAGACCTCAGTAAATATTTTAATTCAAAAGAAAAAGACACACATACAGTATACACGTCACCTGTAATCATTAACAATGTATCTCCAGTAGATGGCAGTAAAAGGTTCTTAACTTGTGACTTGTGGCTCTCCTGGTTTCTGCCTCAGGACCCGGGGATCAGCAGCACCAGCCCCCCTGGAACTTACCCTCCCTTTGATGATGGACTGAAACGAGACGTCTTCATTAAAAATGCTACAGGACACATCCTGATAGGGAAGGTTAGACCTCTTTTTTCTGAGGCTGTATACTTTCTTGTCACATTGTGAGGCGTGTACAGTATGTATTTGTGCTTTAACCTGGGTGTGGTTGTCATGCACATTTCCATACTGTGTATCTAGGTTTGGCCCGGCCCAACAGCCTTCCCCGACTTCACCAACCCAGAGACCAGACAGTGGTGGGAGGACTGCATCAGAGATTTTCATTCTAAAGTGCCCGTGGATGGACTGTGGATTGTGAGTATGTACAGACACAAAAGCCACATGTTATTTAGCCACCAATACTATGATTAAGACATAAGATATCAGGTCTGTGTGAAATTTTAAGGACAGGTTTTCAGTTCTGAAACTGACTTTGTGGTTATGTGTTTAATTTGCTTTGCACCACAAAATCACAGAAAGAATGATAATGTGTCCTTCCTTGTTTATCTCCCCTGCTTCACCCAGGATATGAATGAACCATCCAGTTTTGTCCAGGGCTCAGTGGGGGGCTGTCCTGACAGTGATCTTGAGAACCCCCCCTACACACCCAGTAAGTACACTGGATCAGTGTCACAAGTTGATAGCATCTAAAGTCATACGAATAGTATTGGTTTTACATCTACAGTCAATTCATATATCAAAGTAGATTTGATTTTGTACAAGATACCATGTAAATCACTATGGACACATAACTGATCCGTTCACTGCATCTCTGCCTGTCATACTAACAGGGGTGGTTGGAGGCCAGTTGAACTCAGGAACTCTTTGTATGTCAGCTCAGCAGAGGCTGTCCACTCACTACAACCTGCACAACATGTACGGACTGACAGAAGCTTATGCCACTAACAGGTTAGACTATGCATCAGATGCAGTTCGCAGAGCTAGTTTTGCAGGGAGGGAATTATTTCACTGTGGGTAGCAGAATAAAATGAATCAATAAGTAATGAGTAGCAATTGGCAAAAATGTCCATTTTATGCAAGCTATTATCTTCAGAGGACAGATAACACACTATTGTAATGGAAAAATAAAGTAAAATCTTTTGATATCAATTGACAGAGAAGTCAAATGTTTGTATTTGAACAGTATGTGAATATATAGTGTAAGTAGTGGTTTTAAGTAGCTCATTGAAATTTAAGTTGCCCTTGCCTTGCCAGTGTATGTTTATTGGGTTTCTGAACATAGTAAAGACTTTAATTTTTGAATCTAGTATACTGGAGCTGACTGTAAAATCACAGAATATATGGATGTAGTTGTTGTTTGACTTTTGTTGTGTGTCCTGTATACTCTATTCCCTCTGTGGTTGGTTGCCATTCTTAGAGCCCTTACGAAGGTACGAGGAAAGAGACCCTTTGTCCTGTCCCGCTCCTCTTACCCTGGCATCGGACACTTCTCTGGAGTGTGGACAGGTGATGTGAGGAGTGACTGGGAGCAGCTTCGATACTCCATCCCTGGTGAGGAGATGTTGTTTCTGTGTGTGCACAGTCCACTACCTGAAATGGAATAATACTGTCTTGCTTCACTGTGATGTTTCATAGGGGAGTCAATTCTGAGATATTGGCTATTTTTGATGGACTTGTACGTGGTTGAAAAAATAATTTTCAGTAAACTTTTTGTTTTCAAGTGACCACAGATCACTTGATAGATTTACACTGACATTTTGCACCTGTTCACCTCCAGCGGTGCTGCAGTTCAGCCTGTTCGGGGTGCCTTTGGTGGGGGCGGACATCTGTGGTTTTGGAGGCAACACCACTGAAGAGTTGTGTGTACGATGGATGCAGCTTGGGGCCTTCTACCCGTTTATGAGGAACCACAATGACAAGCCAAATGCTGTGAGACAGAGACAATCTTTGTGTGTCTCCCTGTGTATGTCTTTTGAGTTAGTTCAAATACATATACTATAACAGCAACATTCAGGGGGTTTTATGTTGAAGTAGAGGTCTGCCCTGTATGTTTCTTCCTATGTGTCTCTGGTTCATGTATTATAAATAGAGGTAACTCAATCTCCTCTCATTGTCTGTGTTTCTGTGTGTCTGTGTCCCTCAGCCTCAGGAGCCCTATGTATTTGGACAGAAGGCCCGGGCAGCCATGCGGAGTGCATTGAACCTTCGTTACTCCCTTCTCCCATTCCTCTACACACTCTTTCATCGTGCACACACCTCTGCTGAGACTGTGGCCAGGCCTCTCTTCATGGAGTATGTGTCCTCTTCTCTTCTCATCTTGTCTTCTTTTCTACTTGCCTTAATTCTTTTCTGTTCACTGTTGTCTGACATAAACAAAATAATAAAGAATATATTTGTGTATCCATCCGTTTTAGGTTTCCCACTGACCCTAACTGTCAGACCATAGACAGGCAGTTCCTCTGGGGTAGTTCTCTTCTCATTAGCCCAGTTTTAGAGCAAGGGTCAGTAGAGCTGGCTGCGTACCTGCCCCCCGGCACTTGGTACAGCCTGCACAATGTGAGTCGCTCAACCCCTATCAATTGACTCTCACAATAACTGGTATATATGAGCTTTAAGTCAAGGTTCAATCAATCAATTTTTGTTTATTAACTGGTAAAGGCCACCATGATTGTGGTGTCCTGTAGTAACACATGACGTTTAGTGTTCACCAGTTTCCCTCTGGGGTTCTGTCTGCTGTGTTTTGATCTCAAGGGTCAACCTTTCTACAGTAAGGGGCAATACCTGCTTCTGCCAGCCCCTCTGGACACCATCAACGTCCATGTGAAGGAGGGACACATCATCCCCCAACAGGTGGGTGTCTGCTCTGGAAAAAAATACCAAAATGTTGCTGTTTTGTATCATTTCAGTTGGAGACAAAATTTAGTAGATTTATTATTAATAAAATATTTGAAGATGAGGGGAAAGCCACAATACATAATTGAAACAGGTTGAACGAGTACTTAGAATTCTTACTTACAGTTTCTAGCAGTTTTTAGCAGAATCACGTTTGAAACTGGTGTAAAATAAACAAGCAGTGCACACTGGTAACTGTGTTACTGTTAATTAGAATATTGATGGTTTGTTGTTTGTTGCTGGTTAATATCTAGTTGCGTAACAATCAGTTTTTAGCCACTGGCAAAACATTGGCATTTTTGTAAACACAATTGTTACTTTATTGCTAACCTTAACTTTGAGTAAAATGGCTGTGGCATGGCTGCACATAATCAAGTGTTGTATCAGGTTGTGTTGACCTGTAACCATCATGACATCCTGACTGATGTCTTCAAGTAAAAGAAAAACTAGCTGAAATACTCTGGAAGGAAGCGTGTGTTCTGTAACTTTTCATTATGTTTTCTTTGATCTGCTTTTTTCTTGTGAAGGAGCCTGCTCTGACAACCACAGCCTCACGCGGAAACCCTTTCTTCCTGACGGTGGCACTGTCAGCTGGCGGCTGGGCCTGGGGCGACTTGTTCTGGGATGACGGGGAAAGTCTCGACACCTATGAAATGGGAAATTATTGTTACGTCACCTTCATTGCTGGACAGGTAGGGAAGAGACCGGTGGTGTGTATTTGCAAATGAAAAGCCGATAAGCAGTGTTTTGCATTTTACTACCGTACTACTTGAGTCAAACGTTTGTTTACTAACTTAATGATTCTACTTCCTCTTCAGTCTCAGATTGTGAGTGATCCTCTGAGGCTGAATGGGGCCCTGGATGGTCTGATACTGGGAGGGCTGCAGGTCTTTGGGGTTCCCTCACTACCCCGCTATGTATTGGCCAATGGGGAGGAAGTCAGGGATTTCATGTACCGCAGCGACACCAAGGTGAGTTCTGTGTGACTCAGCACTACTTCCTCAGATGTTTGTTCTCCATAGAAAGATAATGATGTCATTCTGCAGGTAAGTGTCTATGTGTCTGTCTCCGATTGTCAGCCTTAAGTAGTCTATCTGTCTGTCCCTCCCCACAGGTTTTGACAGTAACCAGCCTGGCCTTGCCCATGTCAGAGGTGTTTACAGTCCAATGGGCTCTCTGATGCACTGAACACTGTTACACATGAGCCTCAGCATTCTGCACAGTTGCTGAAAAGACCAGCTGATTTCTTTTAGCTGTCCCAACCACTCCAGAGCTCAGTATGCACCTTACATTTGATCTGTCTCATTTTCCAGATTGTCGCCTTTGTAAGCAGGTTTTTAAAAATGTGTTAACATCAAACATGGGAGCCATCATCTTGAGATGAAAGCTACTTTTGTGCTGCACTGAATCAAGATAATTTAATGCCTTATAATTGTATATAGTTTTTATAACTATTTATAGTCCTTTTGTATTTTTTTTTAAATCATCTTTGTTCCTCAGGTGCTTTGCTAATAAAAAACAGTGAAAAACCATCAATTTGTCTGCATTTGAACTGCATTAGAGCATCTGGCAGATGGTTTCATTGTTCTCATTGACACACACATATGCAAGACGTTGCATATATTGTTTCATGCTGTCTTCATTTATTTTACTCTGAAATGAGATTCATCACATTAATTATTCATTTTTATCAACATAATAGTCTCATAAAATTAAGGTGTTGTGCAGCAACAAATGGTGCTAAAACATAATGTGAAGAAAAATCTTTTGTGGATGTGAGTATGCTCCCAAACTACAGTAAAGCCTTTGCATGTACCACCACCACTGTAAATATATACTGTAAATGATTTATTGTAACTTATAATAGGAGAATCGCTTATTACTACCCCCAAGCCAAATTTACAACTAATTTAAAATTCTGAGTCAAAACACAATTTACACATTTAAAAAAAAACATTTATATGTTGTAAGCAGTAAATTGCATTTTATTACTTTAGTGAGGGTGTACATTATTTATTGCCTGAACTAAAACAGATTTTAAACAGCGAGGTCAAACCCTCAGCAGCTGTGTAACGAGATGCTCTGACTCCAGCTCTGGTCCTGATGATGAACCAACTGCATTCAAGCTTTTGCCAGTGACCTTAAAAACGTCACTTATGATGAAAAAGGTCAGATTTTATGGTAGGCTGGGTCGGATGATGACTTTGTTTAGTGTAAAATATATTTTTTGTATTTTAAAGTGTGGTCATGCTCAGATTTTCTCTGTGTTTTCCATCTGAAATATAAAATTCCCGGTTTGTTTGATAGAAACAGCCTGTGACATTCCGGAAGCGGTGAAATTTGTGGGATTGGTCTGTAGCTGCTAAATCAAGTTACATACACATTACCGAATTATTATAGGAAGTAGGAAATGCTTAGCTTACAAAATAAAGCGACGCGAATTTTTTTTTGAAAAAAGCCCCTGCACCGCGTGCGTTTGAAGGCAGGGTTTACTTTGAAAGTTCCAACCGGAAGTATAGTTTTTGCTCTAGAAACAGCAGCAGTCAGACGTGTGGTGTGACTGTTGGAAAACACGGGGGTACAAGCAAGACTACAGTCCCTGACACCTGAGCTAAACCCGGGAGAAAGAAGGCGAAGCGACACCGGTACATGCTGCTCGGTCCCTGTCTGCTCGGTGACATGGATGTCCGACATGGGCTGTAGTCTCCTGCGGCAGGACTGAAGGTGAGAGCTCAGCCGCTTGGCCCCGTTTCTGTACACGCTGCTTGTTATTCATTTATTTCTCCTGCTGGAACAGGTGTATGCCAACAGCCAAAAGAGGATACATTTCTTCGGTACGAGTGAAATATGTGTCATGGTTGTCTTCTGTAGCACGCTGCTGCTTGCTTAGATAAACTTTAAAGTTGCCTGTTAACGTGGACACCGTGAAATGTAACTAGCAACGTATTTCGGCCATGGTGTAGGCAGCTAAACTAAAATATTGATGTTCAAGATGGTACAGATAGAGAGTCCCGGGCTGTTCCGGCCAGAACCCCCACTGTAAATATTAGTATGGGCCTGTGTAAATAATGCTGCGGTGGCAAAAGCCTTGCCCCATCTTCCCCTCTGCTCCTCCTGTCAGGCGGATGCTGCCTGTCAGACCCGGTGTGAAGAACTGATGGAGCCCCCGACATCATGCTAACAGGCTACACTGTTACTACTGAGGCATTTCCTCAGTCCGGCTGCAGTCAGGACAGGGAGGCCACCGTCAGTCCGGATTTACACAGGTTGTGGAGCTGACAAAAACATCTTTGACATGTACTCACTGTATACACTGACTGATGAGAAAAATTGAAACCCCTGTGCATTGTAATGCAGTTCAATACAACAGTTTTGTCATAGATACTACCTATGTGAGACTCCAAATAAGATGTATTGGTGCTGCATTGTATTGCATTGTACAGATATGCCTATTCTTGTAGTTACCACATAAGGACGAGGAAGCAACTATTATAAGGCAAATTTCCTGGTTGAAGCAGAGTTGTGAGTTGTGATTTTTTTTTACATTATCACAGCATAAACCACTTTTTAATAAGGATCCCTTAACTTTAATTATTAAATGAATTCTGTGTATGATATATTCTGAGTGGGACATTTCATAGTTGAAAAATAAACTTTCTGATTGATGATGTCTGCAATTAAGTTACAGTCCCAGTGACGTCAAGCTTAGGTATTTCTGCAATGCAATTTCTTATTACTTAGCAGCTGGCATATAATTCTTGTGCAATACTTTTAGGCACAAAAATAAAGTGCTTGCTTTCAGAAATAATGCAGTGAATATTTTTACTTCATATGAAATGCAGTGAACAGTAAAAAAACAAAAAAACATGAATATTTGGTGTAACATTGCCTCTATAACGGCACAAGTTTTCTTCAGTACACTTGTGCATGTTTTTTCAAGGTACTTGGCAGGTGGGTTGTTCCAAGCGTTTTGGAGAATTTATAATCCCAGACTGACTCCATGATTTTGAGAGCATAGTTTTGTTAGGGCCTCAATATCTGTTGCAGGATACCTTGTTCTTCATGGCTCTAGCTGTGCATTTGAGGTTATTGTCGTGCTGCAGAATTTGGCTACAATCACACTCACCCTTCTGTCTGTCTATCTGTCTCCATCCACCAAATTTAACCATAAAATTTTATGAGTGTAGAACAATTTAAGACAACAAACAAATTTAACATTGTTCCTTGACCTGAAGTTCTTAATCACCTTTGTTTCCATATGAAAATCCCCAATGGACCTTAAAGTTTATCCACCTTTAATTTGCCATGAAATCACCCAGTACCAGCTAGTGGTTGCAGGGGTTAAAAGTTTATTTTGAAAAGGTGTTCCACCTCATTAAATAGGTGTATTTAGATTTTATGGAACACTGTGTATTGCTTTATCACATGAAGCTCAATATAACACTTTGCCTGTAAGAGAAATATGTTTTATGTGCTTTAATATTTGTAGATGTAGCAAAACCTAAAATACGTATACAAAACATCAGAGTCACCCATAAAGTTTCCTTGTGCAGGGTCCACAAGAGCCTTGTTTTTCAGGCTTCTTTGTGGCTATTCTCTATTCAGCTGCCTCAGGCATGTTAGTGTACAGTGCAGATGAAAAGGGAGGGGGGGGGGTTCTGTATTGGCTCCTCTATTCAAATGTCAGCGTGACAACTTAATTAACGTAGCCCAGAGGTGAGAAGCTGAGACCCAGTAAGCTTGTAGCCTCTATACTTGCAGCTAAATTTCCATGGTATAGGTTTCAGGTTGTTATTTAAAGTCTCATATTTTGGCGGGCATCTGTTGAATGTTCTTGCAAAATGTGAAGTATTCTGTAGGTCACAGTGGTACTAGCAGAGTTGAGGGTGGCGTTTCAGTCCCAAGGATGTGAGTCATTTGATAAAAGATTGAAAGGTCAGAGAGGAGAGGCAGTGTGTGAGCACAGTGAGGTGTTGACAGCATAAAAGATGAAGTGAGAAGAAACGAGTGAGTCTGTCCTTTAACAGCCTGCACGAAGAAGCCCTATCAAACTGACCTGTGTCACCTTGTAATCACATATACAGACTAAAATAACCACTAGATAGTAGCACAGCAGTGTGTCATGTTGAAAATCCCAGCCTCTCATTATGGACATGACGCACAGGTAGCCTGTTTTTCAGTGTGTGTATCCTGCAGGAATGCAGAGTCAGAGTATGTAGACACTGTGTTAGTCCACTTTGGCTTATTTACAAGAGTATTTACATGTGTGTTAGCAGGCAAATAGCCCAGTGGTCACTAATATTCAGTAGTAGTCTAATGTTGTGGCTTACAGACAGAGGAACTGGGACATGGCAAACAAAAACTTTGTTGTCCTGTAGATCTTTTCAGACCCATTTCATTAAAAAAGTCTGAAAACATGTAAAATCAGTTCTACCTCCCATATGAATAGATCATTGTAGAGATGAATCAGTATGTCAGTCAATTAGCTGACCGACAGACAATCTAATGGTACAATATCTATTGAATTTTGATAAAGATGAAATGCTTCAATCATTTATCAAGTATCAGTTTAAATTGGATATCTTTGGATTTTGGAGTGTTGGTTGGAAAAAACAAGACATGTGAAAACATCACCTTGAAATCTCAGAAGTTGCGGTGAGCATTTTTCACAATTTTCTTTTCTTTTTTTTTTTTTTTTTTACATTTGATGGACAAAACAATTCATCCATTAATTGAAAAAGACAATGAAAATAATTTTTGGTTGCAGGCCAAGATTCTTGGCATGAGCAAGAAATACTAGCCCCTTTTTACAAGATGTACTGTGTGAATGGTTAAACTGTTACCAAAAAAAAACACACCCACAGTCACACTTTTTTTAAAATGTAAGCCAAATGATGGCCCATGGTGAGGCCCCTCTCAGAGGTCCTGTCTGGATTTCGTGCCAGCAGCCTTCCTGTCCGAGGCCTGGCATCAGGAAGCGGGGTGCCTGCTTAATCAGGCAGAGGTAAACATGCCCTCTGAGGAAAAAGGAGGGAACATTCCTCAGACAGAGTGTGGAGTTTGTGTCAGAGTGTTCTGCCAACAAGAGAACAAGGTTACACACATGAAGTGGGTCAAAAGACACAGACCTACAGTACATGTCAGACCAAGAGAAAGAAAATGAGTCAATGAGTTCTACTGTATGTGAGGGAATCCGACAGAAGCAAAAAAAAAAAAAAAGTTAGACTTTGTTTGCTTGTAGTGTTCTTTGATCCTGAAAAGTAAGATCCCATCCAAAGCTTTTCAAAGTGTTCAGCGGCACACCATGCTGCAGCATCAAAAGATCTGCTTTACTTTTTACTCAACGTGAAGTTTGTCTCGTCACACAAAGCTGTGTTTCTGAAGCAGACAAACTAAACACTGGTGGTGTGACATGCTGATCCCAGTTCAGCGCTGTCGTTGATGACATCTGTTGGCTACTGATAACTGCTTGGAATTTCACACGGATGGAGTGAAGTGTGTTTGCTCATGTCTTTGTGTGTGTG